ATGAGTGGCTTTTTGCAAATGTTACAATGAATGTTATATGTGTAATGTTAGAAAGTTGTGCTGTATTAATTCTCTTAAGTTGCATATTAGTTTTAGGTTCCAACATAATGTTAAAATAGAGAGGTTTTTTATAGGAATGAGATACTCACTTTGAGGAAAATCTAAATCTTCCAAAGGAGAGAAATTTATGGCTTCTTATCAGAAGAAACTAATTTCTTCAGGCCTTGCTCAGACTCGGAGACACCATGGGGATTAAAGGAAACAGGTGACATACAACAGAGTTTCTTGTTTAGAATAGAATGTATGCATAGCCATAAAATATTTATAAATATGCAACAAGTGTATTGGTTTAAGGGTGATTCCTTCGTTCACAAGGGATGCTTTTCCTGACTGAGTGTCCGAGAGCATCCAAACATCTGTAATTATTTGCTTTTTATTGTCTTGTAATTGTCCTAACTCTAAACTTTGATTACTCTAATTATATTATTATTTTTATAACAATTTTATTATTATTAAACTTTGAAACTTTGAAAAACCAAGTGATGATTGGCGTTTTTCACAGGTTTGATGCCTTTGGTGCTGCTCTGCTGCCTGGGGACACACGAGGGAACCTCTGAGGATCAGAGCTGCTGGGCTTTATCAGTTCCTAGAGTTTCCCCTGGAAATTGTTTTCCCAGCCAGCGTGGGCTCTGTGGAAAGCTGAGAACAAGCTCAGGGACAATTTCATGCCCTAGTGCACAGACACTTTTAAAGCCCTGTTAGTAGAGAATCGCAGCTGTGCTGGGATAAAAGCTGCAGGGCAGTGTTGTTTCAGGTACCACTTAATTCCCGTGACTCCTGGGGGACAGCAGCTCCTTCCTTACAGCTAAAGGACGTGTTCGTGCTGCCCTGAATTAAAAGCAACATCTGCAAAGTGGGATCCTCTCAGCACAGGGGCTGTGAGCAGAATCCACGATGCCAAAAGAACTCAGAGGGAGCACATCCACTCTGGGTCAATAAATTCCTGGGTGGTGGGATCAGGGGAAGTGGAATCAGCAGGTTCTGCTTTTACTAAAGCTGCTCCAGCATTTTCCCGGATTATTTTTCTTTTAAGTGCATGGATGTTTCGGCAGGCCACTCTAATTGAACTGCTAGATTAATTAATAAAAACCACGGCAACTTCACTGAGCACAGTAAAAACTGAATCCTTCTGGCTCCTGGAACTTCTGATTGTTAATAAACAGGAGAAATTATAATAAATTGGATAAAATAAACAGGATATATAATATTGGATACAATGACCAGGAGAAAAGAATGAACAGATTCCTGGGTGATGGGATGGGCTGATCAGGGGTGGTGAAATCAGAAGGTTCTGCTTTTATTAGAGCTGGTCCAGGCATTTTCCTGGATTTTTTTTAAGTGCATGGATGTTTCAGCAGGCCACTCTAATTATTAAACTGCCAGATTAATTAATAAAAACAATGACACCTTCACTCAGCAGAGTAAAAACTGATTTCTTCTGGAACCTCTGGTTGTTAATAACCAGGAGCAATTGTCCTTCCAGCTTGCCCAGACCATGGATTTTATGCTGAGGGCTGCTCAGTGCTGCTGCGCTGACATTAAAACCTAAATCATGGGCTGGCAACTCCGTGAGCTGTGCCAACAACTGGAAATTTTGCTTCAATAAAGTTCTCAGGCAGATCCCGTCAGCTCTCATCACTCAGAGCTCAAATGTGTGTGAAATAATATTTAGGTTTGCTCAGTGAGAGGCAGAGAGGAAGGAAGCTCCCCCGCTGTCTCTGGGGGCTGGTGATGATTTTGAGGAGGATCTGCTTGGGCTGGGTGCTCAGAGAAATTTAAATGGTGCCCCCCAAATGTGGTTTTGTTCTGTGGGTGCCTTTTCGTTTTGTGAAAAGAGAGGAAATGCCCTGAATGAAATAACATTTCCAGGTATTTCTTAAAGGGTCAGGGAGCTTTGTATCACAGCTGATCCTTTGCCCTCCTGGCCAAAAGTCTGGCTGCTCCACGTGGGATAAACCTCAGAGTGTGTTGTAAGAAGCTTTAAATTCTCATTTTTTCCTATTTATCTGGTGCTACTCCTGCCCTTGTGATCCCTTGAGCACTCTTGATCCCAAATGATAGCAAATTCCTTCAGGTCCTGCTGCTCCCGTGTTTTGTCCAAGTCTGGGCTTGGGGCAGCTCGGGGATTGCTCCTGGATTCCTGCATCCCCCAGGAATGGCAGCAGGAGTCCCCTGGGGGATTGCTTAAAACTGGAAATCTGTCCCGGAATCCCTTTGGATGTGTGAAAAACACCAGTCACCTGGCTATTCAAACTTGAAAAGTTTAATAATAATAAAATGGTTATAAAAATAATAATAGAATTAGAGTAATCAAATTTAGAGTTAGGACAATTATAAGATAATAAAAAGCAAAGAATTACTGTTCTTGGACACTGAGTCACGAAAAGCATGATTTGTGAACAAAGGAATCACCCTTAAACCAATACACTTGTTGCATATTTATATATCTTTCATCTTTCTTTTTATGCATACATTCTGTTTAAAACAAGAAACTCTGTCTGTTGTATGTCAACTGTTTATTTTAATCTCCATGGTGTCTTCGAGTCTGAGCAAGGCCTGAAGAAATTAGCTTCTTCTGATAAGAAAAACATAAATTCCTTTTCCTTGGAAGATTTAGGTGTTCCTCAAAGCGAGTATCTCATTCCTAAAAAAAAAAATCTTCCCCACATACATAGTCTCTAACATTATGTTGTAACCCAAAACTATATTTACCACACTTTGTAAGAGAATTAATACAGCACAACTTTCTAACATTACACCTATAATATTCATTGTAACATTTGCCAAAATCTGCATTTTTCACAAGGAGATCCATAAGTTGTAAAACTGTAATTTTGGGGAACAAGCTGGTCTGGGGATTGCTCAGCACCAGGGCTTTGTGTCTGGGATTAATGAAAATCAGTAATCAACAGGTTTTTAAAATAAAATCAGTTGTCATTTAGCTGTGAGTCCATAAGGGAAAAGCAGGTGGGAGTTGCTGGATTTGTCCCATTTTATTTTCTTCTCTTCACTCTTGTGGACATTATCACTAGTTTTTGTTTGTACCAATTGCATTTGCCTTTTTAAATTGTTATCTAGTTTTCTCCTAGTAAAGAATTGTTACTCCCATTCCCATATCTTTGCCTGAGAGCCTTTTAATTTAAAGATCCTGGTAATTCAGAGGGAGGGGGGTTTGCCGTTCTCCATTGCACAGGAGGCTTTGCCCTCTTTCACAGACTCCTGTCTTGTCGAACCAAGACAGATTTTGGCGCCCAATGTGGGGCCCAAGGGCATTAAGAGGGAAAAAGGATTAACAGTTCTTAAGTAATTTGGTTTTGTTTTGTGGCCATGCCCTGGGAATTCCTGCAGCTCCCAGACCCTCTGCACCAATTTCCTGGCTGGCAGTTTGGGTTTTTACCTCGGGGAGCAGCTGGGAACCATCCTTTGGTTCATTTCCCTGCATAAAACCCCCAACCTTGTCCTGGTGCTGGGCTGGGGAGGATTCCAGAACCTTCCATGTCAAACCCTCTGCAGGCACCACACTGAAGGTTTAATTAGTTATTAGCATCCTTTTTTTTTTTTGCCCATTTTTTGGGCTCAGTTTAGTGCAGTTTGTAGAAAGCTTCAGTCAGATTTTTACTCCCAAGGTTCTCAAAACATTTTAAGCGTTATTGAGCAAAGCCCTGGGCTCACTCAGCACCCCAAAATCTCTGTCCCATGGTGTGGGGTCTGCTCCGGGCTGGGTTGGTGAAGCAGGGAGGGGTTTGGGACAGAACCAGTGAAGAAAACCTGTGAGAAACTCTGCAAAACCATGAAAAATTCCAGGAGCAGTCCTGTGGGAAGGTGGGAAAAGCCCAGGATTTGTTGCTCTCAGGTTGTCCCGGCTGTTCTGGAGCTCTGAGCTCCTCCAGGAGCGTGATGGGATCAACCCCACACCTGGATTTTTGTAGGGCTGTGGCTTTTTCCTACTGAGTGTGGCCTTGGATGGGATTTTTCCAGGTCAGAAGTGGTGAGTGTGACCTTGTGTGGGTTTTTTGCCAAGTTAGAAGTGCTGAGTGTGACCTTGCTGTGGATTTTCTTGGTGAGTGTGACCTTGGTGTGGGATTTTTCCCAGGTCAGAAGTGGTAAGTGTGACCTTGTGTGGGTTTTTCCTGGAGAGTGAGACCTTGTGTGGGTTTTTTGCCAAGTTAGAAGTGGTGAGTGTGACCTCGCTGTGGATTTTCTTGCTGAGTGTGACCTTGTGTGGGTTTTTCCCAATAGGTGTGACCTCAGTGTGGGTTTTTCCTACTGAGTGGGATCTTGTGTGGGTTTTTCCCATTGAGTGTGACCTTGTGTGGGTTTTTCAGGTCAGAAGTGGTGAGTGTGACCTCGCTGTGTTTTCTTTCCACTGAGTGTGACCTCACTGTGAGCTTCTCCCAGTGAGTGTGACCTTGCTGTGGGATTTTTCCCAGGCCAGAAGTGACTTGCTGTGGGTTTTTTGCCAAGTTAGAAGTGATGAGTGTGACCTTGCAGTGGATTTTCTTGCTGACTGTGACCTTGTGTGGGTTTTTCCTGGTGGGGCTGACCTCACTGTGGGTTTTTCCAGGTGAGTGTGACCTCGCTGTGGGTTTTCTTGGTGAGTGTGACCTTGTGTGGGGTTTTTCAGGTCAGAAGTGATGAATGTGACTTTGCTGTGGGTTTTTCTCAGTGACTGTGACCTTGTCTGGGTTTTTCCTGGTGGGGCTGACCTTGCTGTGGGTTTTTCCTGACCTACCTGTGGGTTTTTCCTACCTGGCTGTGGGTTTTTCCTGACCTCCCTGTGGGTTTTTTCTGACCTCTCTGTGGGTTTTTCCTGACCTCCCTGTGGGTTTTTCTCAGTGACTGTGACCTTGTCTGGGTTCTTCCTGGTGGGGCTGACCTTGCTGTGGGTTTTTCCTGACCTTGCTGTCGGTTTTTCCTGACCTCCCTGTGTTTTTTTCCAGGCTGACAGGATTCCAGCTGCCTGCTCCCATCGTCAGCAGTGGCCTGGTGCTGTCCCTGTGGCTCGTCAGTGACTACGCCGTCAGTGCCCAAGGCTTCCAGGCCAGCTACGAGGGTGAGTCCAGGAGGAGCTGCAGCTGGGCTTGGGAGGTGGAAACTGAGCTGCAGAATCTCTACCAGCATCTGGATATTTCTGCTTCGTCGTTGTGTAAATTAATATATTTTTTTTCAGCATTTAAATTGCTGGTTCCTTCCAGCAGAGTGTGGTTTGTTTTTTTATTTTTTTTCATTAGAAGTGTACTCAGGCTGAATTCCCTGGAATAGCTGGGAAGGGTGGGTAATGTCAGGAAAATTCATCCACAAACACCTGAGGTTTATGTCCAAAAAGGAGACAGAGGAGTCCTGGAACTTTATTTCAATAAAGGGAGAGGCATTGGGGCATTTCCCTGGGGTCTCTCAAATTTTTGGAGGATGCAGCCTCCTTTTTATCCCAATTTCATATTTGAGAGGTTCAGACTTCCCAGAACACCTGATACCAAACATTTCCCTCTAATATACAACCCTCCCTTTTAATTTTTAATTCTTCTGGAATTTAGGGTTTTTCCCCATTGTTTCTTTCATCATTCAATATCCAATTTCATTTATCAGCAAACCTACAGTTTATTTGTAAAAGCAAATATCCTTTTCCATTCACCAATCAGTGGAATCCTCCCCATTGTTTCTTTTCTCTCAGTGCTGGTTTTATCTACCAGCAGACCCACAGCTGGTTTGGGAAGACAAATCCCTCGTTCCTCTCAGTAACGTGGGGCTGACACTGGGATTTCCAGGAGCAGTGTCCATGTGGGCACCAGGAGATTTGAAGTACTGCAGGAGATTTGAATTATTGCATTTCTCTTACATACTCTTCATCCATTTCTTTTGTTTTTTCCCCCCCTGCCTGCCCCAGTCCTGAACTCACCCCGTGGTTGCTGCCCTGGGGCCGTGGGGGTGAAGGGTTTTGTGTGAAGGTTTAAACCCTCCAACACTCTGGGCCAGTGGATCCCTTGGACATCTGGAAAAAGCTGTTTTATAGTGGAAGTCAGGTCATGATGTTCCATGGTGCTGCTGGGGAAATGACAAATTAACCATGTTAAAATTCCGCTTACACGGCTGTTGATTACTGAACCTAAAATGCTGCTCAGCTCCCCATAAATGTTTTTTTTTTTTTTTTTTTTTTTTTTTTTTTTTTTTTTTTTTTTTTTTTTTTTTTTTTTTTTTTTTTTGGGCTTTTTTGTTGTTTTGTTTTTTTTTTTCTTAAAATTATCATTAAGGCTGAGAACTTGTTGGTAATGAGTCCAGCTGGCCAATTACCCCAGACATTCAGCCAGGGAAAAGCCTTCACTGAGGTGATGGTGGAGCCTCACAGCATTTCCTCCTCGTGACAATCAAGTTATTTTCAAACCCCCTCCAGTTCCTGGTGGAATTCTCTCATTCTCTGCTCTGCCCTGAGGCTCTGGGAGGGTTTGGGGGAGCTGAAGCCACCAGGGGCTCTGTGGGGTCAGCAGTGGGCACAGAGCTTGGCCCAGGATTGTCCCACTGGTCCCTATAAGGTCAGAGAGCAGCTCTGGGTATTCCCAGGGCTGGGGGCACTGGGGAGGATTTTGGGACAGGTGAAGGTTCTGGGACAGGTAAAGGTTTTGGGACAGGTAAAACTTTTGGGACAGGTGAAGGTTTTGGAAAGGTAAAGCTTTTGGGACGGGTGAAGGTTTTGGAAAGGTGAAGGTTTTGGGACAGGTGAAGGTTTTGGGACAGGTGAGGATATCAGGTAAGGTGAGGATGTCAGGAGAGGTGAAGCTTTTGGAGCAGGTGAGGATGTTGGGACAGGTGAGGATGTTGGGACATGTGAAGGTTTTGAGACAGGTGAAGGTTTTAGGACAAGTGAGGATGTCAGGACAGGGGAGGATGTTGGGACAGGTGAGGAATTTGGGGCAGGTGAGGATTTTGGGGCAGGTGAGGATGTCAGGGCAGGTGAGAGTTTTGGGGTAGCTGAGGATGTTGGGACAGGTGAGGATGTTGGGTTAGGTGAAGGTTTTGGGGTAGGTGAAGGTTTTGGGGCAGGTGAAGGTTTTGGGGCAGGTAAGGATGTCAGGACAGGTGAAGACTTTCGGACAAATGAAGCTTTTGGGACAGGTGAAGGTTTTGGGGCAGTTGAGGATGTCAGGGTAGGTGAAAGTTTTGGGGCAGGTGAGGAATTTGGGACAGGTGAAGCTTTTGGGACAGCTGAGGATGTTGGGACAGGTGAAAATTTTGGGACAGCTGAGGAATTTGGGGCCGGTGAAGCTTTTGGGACAGGTGAAGATGTCAGGGCAGGTGAGCTCAGCACCTGTGGGAAGGAAAGGCAAATCCATTTGCAAAACTGCTTTTTTCCCCCCAAATTTTCAGGGTCTGTTTCAGATTTGCCCATTTGCAGCCCCTCTGCTGGAACATCTGTCAGTCTCCGTGTGAGACACGTCACTCCCAAATCCTGGCACAGAGGACACGCAGCTGCTTTTGCACTTTCTTGACATTTCCAGTTCATTTTTTGGCATTTACACACAGCTCCTTGTACACTTTGTAATGTTCTTTCATTACCTTGATGCTGCAGGAAATCTTGTACAAAGGCTGGCGCCAGGGCTGCCCTTTAGTCACACACATCTGAAACGATCTGGGGTTTATTTGGCTGGTGATTAGGAGGCTTTCAAGGCTCTAACTGAGAGGGAAAATAAATGTATTTAAAACTTAACCCGAGCCAGAGTGACAGAGAGAGCGTTGGCATAAATCAGAGTTTTATTTTGAGGGTGGGAGAGGGGCTCACTTGCTGAAATACCACCCTGAGCCTGCCCCAAAGCAAATTATTCACATTTTGGGTGTTCATTAAGGCTGAGGGAGGTGAGAAATGCAGTTTGAGTTGCTGCAGGAATGCAGCTTCAGTTCCTTGGCTGTTGGATTCCAAAATGCAGGGAACTCTCAGAACTTTGGGCATGGAAGCCTAAACTTAGAATTAAACCCAGGATTTGATCTGAGACCTTGGAAAAGGCTTCCAAACTTTGGTGCTAGAAGCGAGAATGTGCATTTGTAGTTTAAAGCAGAGACACGTTAGGTTAAGAAGAAGAAAGTTTAGAGTTTTGGAGTTTGGGATATAGAAAAAATAAAAGTAATTACAGAGGTAAACAAAAAAAAATTAGAATGCAGTACTGTAGGTTTGTGTGTCATAACATGATTGGCTAAGAAAGCTTACACTGCAGCATGTGTCCATAAGATTAAATATTTAAAGACTGGGATCAAAACCATAAATACCCTTATTGGCAGTGCTTTATTGGTCAATAAATCCTTAAAACATTTTGTAACTAAGGGTCTTGTGACCTTCTGAACCGTGCAGTAACGATGTGAGCAAAACTCACCTGTGAAAAACGCCAATCACTTGGTTTTTAAAATTTTAAAGTTGAATAATAATGAAATGGTTCTAAAAATAGTAATACAATTAGAGTAATAAAGTTTAGAGTCAGGACAGTTACAAGGCAATAAAAAGGAAAGAATTACAGATGTCCGGATGCTCTCGGACACTCAGTCACAACAAGCATCCCTTGTGAACAAAGGAATAACCTTAAAAGCAACAACCTGTTGCATATTCATAGATCTCATACATGATGCATAAATCCCTTGCAAATTAAGAACTTTTCTGGTGTTTGTCAACTTCTTCTCCTTAATCGTGGTGGTTCCATAAAGACAGAGAGAAGGTGGAAGAATGTTTGTGTTTTCTGCTAAGGAGGCAGGAACTCTTTATGGGCCCCCTTCACTGACATTGAAGAATTTCTTGATTAACTCATCTTATTGCTTGAGCTTGTAACAAATCCTGCATCGCAGAGTTTCTATTTCAACATTATGTTGTAACCTAAAACTGTATTTAACAGACTACTTAAGACAATTAATACAGCACAACTTTCTAACTTTACACATATAATATTCATCGTAACATCTGCGAAAAGCCGATCATAAATTATGCATTTTTCACATCACCCTTCCTGCCTATGGAGAAGATGAGAAAAATAAATCCCATCACCTAAAAACTCAGCAGTCCCGTCTGTAACTCATTCAAAATTCCTTCCAGAAGCCACATAGTCGGCAATGTGTGACTCAGGGAAGAGGCAGCGAGGGATAATTCCCGTTTCAAGTCCCGCAGTAAATGGCCCTGCTGTGATCTGCCATCAAAGCCCCTCATCATTCTCCTCCTCCCTCGGAGCCAGCCTTGGGAAATGCACCAAAAGAAACAGAATTTTAAAACTGGGAACAAAAGCTGTCAGAAACTTTTTTTTTTTTATATATTATTATTATTTTAAAAGGAGGACAGGAAGAAAGTACGGCTGGAGGCATCAAAGTGGCACAAAAGCACTGACGGTGCTGTCTGCTCTGCCCAGCCCCGGGGAGGCATCAGCTGGGCTTGGTGTGAGCAGAGAACGTTCCTGGAGGGCAGAGGGGGCTGGATGGGGACACAGCCACGTCCTGGTGTGCCAGGGTGCTCCCTGGGCATCCCTGGGCATTCCCAGGGAGTTCCCTGGGCATCCCTGGGCATTCTTGGGGTGCTCCCTGGGCAT